ACGCCATAGGTCGATCACTGCAACATCATCAGCCCATTTTTTCAAAGCTGTGGACGCTGACCTCTGGTCACTACTCTATGCTACTTCTACTTCTTTGCTGTAGTGTGCTGGTGGGGTGGAGTTAAGACTGGTGAGGTCAACAGGCTCAACAAGCTTGTGAGGAAAGCCCGCTCTACGGTGGGACTAGGCCTGGACAGTCTGGAGACAGTGGCTGAGAGGAGGGTGAAAAACAAAATCTGTGCAATCCTGGACAATTCTTCTCACCCTCTGCACAACGAGCAGATTATCCCACCCAGGAGCAGAACTGAACGATTTTGACATTCTTTTGTGCCCACCGCTATCAGACTGTACAACAGCGGCTTGGCTTAAGCAACATCCAGCTCTGAACTGACTTATTTTGCATCTGTCCAATCTGACACTTTATCTGCCAACTGTCAGCTAAATTAAGTAGGAGAAGAGATGAGTTATTCCAATTTACTTTGTCACTGGAAATATGACTGATATCTACTATAATACTTAGAATATATGGGAGGGAGTGTGTAACATCCTCAAAAAATAAAAGTATGTCATCTGCATACAAGGCTAGAGCGTGATCTGTTGAACTGCAACTTATTGGTTTTATCAGTGTTGATTATCTAATGGCCTGAGACACCAGTTCTAATGAAAGAATAACAAAGGGCTGAGTGGGTCCCCTTGCCTACTGCTCCTTGTAATTTTAAAGGGAGTAGAACAGATATTACCTGTAATTACAGCTGCTGATGGATTGGCATAAGGTGTTTTTATCATTGTGATGAAGTTTGTATTAAATCCCATTTTTAACACTATCCACAGATAGGGCCATTCTAGGCTGTCAAACGCTTTTTCTGCGTCAACTGATAAAACCGTTCAAGAGGGAACATTAGATGAAGTATTTAAAATATGAAGCAGCAGATAAAGGTTTTCTGAGGATAGGTGTCTCTTCACAAAACCGCTCTGATCTGGATGAACTAGTTTTGATAGCACTATTTCTAACCAGGATGCTAATACTTTGGAAAACAGTTTAATATCTGAATTAATTAACAAATTGGGGCGATAAAGAGAGCATTGGGTAGGATCTTTATCCTTTTTGAGTAATAATAATATTAAAGCAGTATTGGCATCTCTCCCAAATGCTCCTACTTCTAATGCTGTATTTATCATTGCAAGTAATGGTGGACCCAAAACACACCAAAATGTCGAATATACTTCTGGAGGTATGCCATTCAGGCCAGGTGATTTACCCTTCTTCATAGTATTTAAAGCAGTTTGGATTTCAGTTAAGGATAGAGGAGCATCCAGAGCCTGAGCCTCTTCTAATAAGAGAGAGGGTAGCTTCAATTTCACTAAAAAGGACTCTATATGGCTTTTGCCTTGCTCTCTGAAGCATATACATTTTTATAATAGCGAACAAATGTCTGATTTATAAGGTCAGGGTCTGAAAGCAGATCATCTGTCTCTGATAGTATTGTTGCTATGTCTGCTGAGTTATCATTAGAGGTCAGTTTGCTTGCAAGCAGGCAGCTTGGTCTATTACCATTTACTATATAGTGGTTAACTCTTGATTTGTTAATTTCGAATTCTGCCTTTTGTGAAAGTACTGTTTTAAATTCTGATTTAAGTTTAATGATATTGCACGTGTCAGAAAACTGCTTTTGCTGAGACAGTTCCATAACAGATATTTTGTGTTCTAATTTTTGTATTTTTCTCAGTCTACCTTTATTAACTCCTGAAGCATTAGATGTCGTAAAATTCTAAATATAATGCATCCCACACAATCCACCTATCATCAACAGAGTCTCTGTTTATAGAGATAAACTCTTTAATTCCATTTTAAGTTGTTTACAGAAAGCATTGTGCAGCAACATAGAAAGGTTAAAAAAGGTCTTCGGTGCGTCCTGAGTAGCCTCCAGCTGTTGAAATACTCTGCATTATTGGTGAATTCCTCAAGACTATTAATTTTCGCTTCATGATCTGATATGAGCTTATTAATAGGAGTCAACTTATTGTCGAGTGCCAAGGAGATCTCCTTGAGGACGATCTCTCGTAAATGGTTGCTGGCTTTTGCGCGTGTACTATTTGTTCACAGGAGCTGCAGGTCAGTGTTCTTTGTCAAAGAAGAGTACACTTATATAAACAGCAAAACTGTTCTCCTTAGCAGCTCTTTCTCAAAAAAAAGACAAAGAAACAGTTTTCAAGATTTCTGTATATATATATATGCTGTTGTCTTAAATCAGGTCATGAATAAAATTTAAGTAATTATATGTGGGACCTGAGGAGAGCCTCTGCAATCAGTGAACCTTTATAACTTTATAATCCACAATCATGCATCACACATGATTATTTCCTCTTGGTTTTCTTGTCACAATTTCTATCTTGCTGATTTATTATCTGCTGGTCTTGGGACCTGTTCTGCTGTACTCGTTTATTCAAGTTGGTCATAAATTAACATAATGCTATTGGTTTGATTCTTTTTACCTTGCTTGCATTCATCACACTGCTCACTCATTTGCATGGTCTTCGGGACCTCATGCTGTATGCACAAACACCTGCGGTTTTCAGGAACCCATGCAAATGCACAATCATGGTCTGCGGAACCTCACGCTGTATGCACAAACACCCATAGTCTTCAGGACCATTCGCTGTATGCTCATAGGTGCTCCGCAGGACCCCTCAACACTTATGTTTTGTTGGTCATGTGACTATTAACTTCTGTTTGTCATGCTAACTTAACCTCTGTAACTCTGCTAGGATGCCGGTGTCCTCGCTCCCCTCCTCCTTTGTTAAATGGTATCTCCCAGGCGCACTACGTCATCAAACTATGTGTTATTTGGTATTGCCGGATTCAGGAAGCTCTCGACTTTTCAAAAATAACATAATTTTCTTTATTTCTTATGTATTTTGCACAAGACATAGTCCAAAATCACAATAGGCAGTGACAAGTCATGTCATGCCGTTTTTCGACAGGAAAAGTTACAGGATTACACGCGATCTTATGAGCAGCTGTTTTATAAAAGGTAGATAGTGGGATGATAACTTTCACATTTCATGTGGCTTTATTCTGATGTTTTATGGTGTTTCTGTGTCAAAAACGACATCAGCTGTTTCAATTACACCTGATTTCAATATGGTACAATGTTAGAAGCTGGCTGAGTGTTGTTTGATCACTGACAGTACTGTTTTGAAGCCGAGAGACCAACTTGTCTTTTGGAGCTCTGCCTGGATCTTTTCATGGAAAAACACTGTACAATAGTCTACTTTGTGCTTTCTTCTTCAAATTTGAAACAAGTGTTCATTGATTGTGCGCCTACAGCCCCATACTGTCATTTACCTCCACAGATGAAGCCATAGACAGTTACTCATCCTGAAAAAAACATTTTTTATGTTAGGCGGACCAAAATCTTCAATTTTTTACTGAATTCAAAGGCCCATTACTCTGTCTTTGTATCACCTAGAGTGCTTCTGACACTTTCAAAAGAAACTTCAGGGAGTCTTCTTTCTGGCAAGACATCATGCATGCATGTAGTCACAGCAGTTCAGAAGCTACAGTCATTTTAAATTTGGATGTCATTTTGGCGTTTTTGCTACAAAATGGGAGTGGAGTGCAAATGGTTCCGTTTGGTCGTCGGACCTTATGTTGCTTTCACCATTTTATGTAAGTTGGTCTTCTGACCTTAGTTTCTGTTTGGTCTATGACCTTTTATTTCAGTTGGTCTCCTCTGACCTTTTATATTGTTCTACACATGGTCTTTGGGACCCCAGCCTGTGCACCCAAGGTCTACTGGACCTCATGCTCATACACAGTATTTTCTGTTTGGTCATCGACCTTATTTTATTTTCATGTTCTACATATAGGTCCAGATCACTAGGACCTCACACCAGTCACGGTATTTTCAGTTTGGTGATCAGGCCCTTAATTTCTGTTGCTCTCATACTGAAAATTGCTGACTTTAATTCATGTTTGGTCGCTGGACCTTAATGTTTTTTTTTTTTGTTTGTTTGTTTTTAACATTTTATTTAAGTTGGTCTTCTGAACTTAATTTCTATTTGGTCTTATGACCTTTCATTTCAGTTGGTCCGCGTTGACCTTCAACATGTAGATACCCACAGTCTGCAGAACCATGCACCTTCCTGCCTTCCTTTCTGGCATTTCACAATTATTTCTGTTGTCTCAGCTTACTTTATCTCTGGCTTGTATATTATTTGGCGGTTAGACCTCAACACGTTTCCTCACTGCTTTCCTTTTCAACACCTATTTCACATCTATTATCTACTAGTTGGTGGCTCCCTAGCTGTCATTCCAGACATATTCCTACCACACATTTCTTATCAGAGTTGTACTGTCTCATTCAGGACTTATTTCTGTCATATACTTAACTATGCAAATATCCATTCCATAGTCTTTCATGTTTTGCTTTATGCATGTTTCTCTAGCTACGCATCTCCCCTTAATTTTCTCTTTACTTGTTTATTAGAAGCCTGTTGTCTGCTGGTAAGGTAAAGATCACCTCATGTCAAATGATCGGTTGTCCCTCTCCCTTTTTACTCTTCTTTTGGGGGGGTTCCCTATTCGACTTTGGATTCATCACCCTCATTAAATCATATCATCTCTACAGGGTCTAATTGCCAAAGAATTTCCACATTTTTATTCATATTCATATGTTCACGTTGATAAATATTCTTTTACCATAAAAATTAGATTCAGCCTAAGTTCAATCAGGAAGACTTTCTCTGTGCTCATCCTTTCACATTTCTCTCCATCCCACTCTCACTACTCCTGCTAATCAGCTGACTAAGGGTGTTCACTCCTCTAGTTATCCAATCGAACTTCGTGTCCCTATTCGAGTATGGATTCATCATCCTCCTTAAATCATACCATCTCTGCGTATACCTTTTTCTTCTTTTCTCTTCAACCTAAATACCAGGAGCTTGTTTATATTTACTGAAATATTTGAGAGGGGAAAAAAATACAAAAAACACAGAAGCAGCAGTAAGAAAGATTCCATTGTAACAGAGGAACATATGAACAACAACAGTTATGGACCCTTAAAAAAATCTAAATGTATCTGAGCATGCTAAACAGTTGAAATGTTTTGGACCTGGACATTCCATCAGGACTAACTGTACAGGGTAGTTGTGTCCAGATAGAGTTAACCTGGCCTGCCTTCACACAGCTGTCTACAGGTCACAGTAAATGAATGCCTTTTCAGGGTCCATTAGATCTTACACAGAGTGTTATTTTTTTCTTCCAGTCATTTTGTCATTGCAGTCAAATCATTGGATCCTTTTCTGCAGTTCATTTCGACAACAATCCCACAGCCTGGGCTCAGACAGTATACTGTAGGTATTTATAGACTCAGTTCTCCACCTGTCCCACAGTCCTCTCCTCTTGAGCAGATCGTTGTCCTTTTGTTGCCATCAGATGACAACATCCTGACATTACGAACCCATAACATTACATAAAGTATTTTTAAAGTCTGCCATCCTTCCTATCTGCTTTGACGTCACTGAATTAAACGGAAGAAGACCCAGCAGGTGAACACAACCCAGTGACTTGCCCAGTTCAGTTCAGACCACCTCTGGATGGTGTGGATGGCTGTGTAACCCTGCAAACAGAGGAGGCAAACTCAATTACAGCACTGACACATAAACACCACCCTTAACACTCATTTTCACACCTGCATCCAATTAAAAGTTAACATGAACCTAATGTGCCTGTCTTTGGACTGTGAAAACATTATGACACAGCAAACTCCATGAAGACTGGAACCCCTTTGCTGTGAGACAACAGTGCTAACAGCTGCACCACCACCCTTTCATTTCTTCAGTCCATGTTTTATTAGCATGCAACTTCAGTAAGAGGCTGGGTGTGCTCTCATACATACATATATATATGTATACACACACATACACACACACACACATATATATATATATATATATACAGTACAGGCCAAAAGTTTGCCTTCAGTGTTCTCACTGAAGGCATCAAAACTATGAATGAACACGTGGAGTTATGTACTTAACAAAAAAAGGTGAAATAACTGAAAACATGTTTTATATTCTAGTTTCTTCAAAATAGCCACCCTTTGCTCTGATTACTGCTTTTCACACTCTTGGCATTCTCTCCATGAGCTTCATGAGGTAGTCACCTGAAATGGTTTTCCAACAGTCTTGAAGGAGTTCCCAGAGGTGTTTAGCACTTGTTGGCCCCTTTGCCTTCACTCTGCGGTCCAGCTCACCCCAAACCATCTCGATTGGGTTCAGGTCCGGTGACTGTGGAGGCCAGGTCATCTGCCGCAGCACTCCATCACTCTCCTTCTTGGTCAAATAGCCCTTACACAGCCTGGAGGTGTGTTTGGGGTCATTGTCCTGTTGAAAAATAAATGATCGTCCAACTAAACGCAAACCGGATGGGATGGCATGTCGCTGCAGGATGCTGTGGTAGCCATGCTGGTTCAGTGTGCCTTCAATTTTGAATAAATCCCCAACAGTGTCACCAGCAAAACACCCCCACACCATCACACCTCCTCCTCCATGCTTCACAGTGGGAACCAGGCATGTGGAATCCATCCGTTCACTTTTTCTGCGTCTCACAAAGACACGGCGGTTGGAACCAAAGATGTCAAATTTGGACTCATCAGACCAAAGCACAGATTTCCACTGGTCTAATGTCCATTCCTTGTGTTTCTTGGCCCAAACAAATCTCTTCTGCTTGTTGCCTCTCCTTAGCAGTGGTTTCCTAGCAGCTATTTGACCATGAAGGCCTGATTGGCGCAGTCTCCTCTTAACAGTTGTTCTAGAGATGGGTCTGCTGCTAGAACTCTGTGTGGCATTCATCTGGTCTCTGATCTGAGCTGCTGTTAACTTGCCATTTCTGAGGCTGGTGACTCGGATGAACTTATCCTCAGAAGCAGAGGTGACTCTTGGTCTTCCTTTCCTGGGTCGGTCCTCATGTGTGCCAGTTTCGTTGTAGCGCTTGATGGTTTTTGCGACTCCACTTGGGGACACATTTAAAGTTTTTGCAATTTTCCGGACTGACTGACCTTCATTTCTTAAAGTAATGATGGCCACTGGTTTTTCTTTAGTTAGCTGATTGGTTCTTGCCATAATATGAATTTTAACAGTTGTCCAATAGGGCTGTCGGCTGTGTATTAACCTGACTTCTGCACAACACAACTGATGGTCCCAACCCCATTGATAAAGCAAGAAATTCCACTAATTAACCCCGATAAGGCACACCTGTGAAGTGGAAACCATTTCAGGTGACTACCTCTTGAAGCTCATGGAGAGAATGCCAAGAGTGTGCAAAGCAGTAATCAGAGCAAAGGGTGGCTATTTTGAAGAAACTAGAATATAAAACATGTTTTCAGTTATTTCACCTTTTTTTGTTAAGTACATAACTCCACATGTGTTCATTCATAGTTTTGATGCCTTCAGTGAGAATCTACAATGTAAATAGTCATGAAAATAAAGAAAACGCATTGAATGAGAAGGTGTGTCCAAACTTTTGGCCTGTACTGTATATCACAAAAACAACTATTCTCATTCACATACCCTATCATTCTGTCTTACATTCACTGTCATTTTGTTCCTTACACGATTATTTGCATTCAGATGTGCAACTAATTTCTCTTACATATGCTATTATTCTGTTTCAAATATTATTCTCTCATACATATATTAGAACTTTGTGTTACATATACTGTTACTTTCATGTACATACTATCATACTTACATATATATAATATCCTCTGTTACACTAAGAGTATGACAGTAAATAAAAGAAAACATGATGATAACTATAAGAGCGTATAGTAGTGTTTGTGTAAGAGTATAGTGGTGTATGTATGAGAGTATGCTTGTGCATGTAAGAGAGTATAGTAGTGTTTGTGTGAGAGTGGTGTATGTATGAGAGTATGCTTGTGCATGTAAGAGGGTATAGTAGTGTTTGTGTGAGAGTGGTGTATGTATGAGAGTATGATTGTGCATGTAAGAGGGTATAGTAGTGTTTGTGTAAGAGTATAGTGGTGTATGTATGAGAGTATGATTGTCCATGTAAGAGGGTATAGTAGTGTTTGTGTGAGAGTATAGTGGTGTATGTATGAGAATATGATGTTACTTGTGAAACCAAGTATGACATATGTCTCAGGGGGCCTCTCATAATATTATATATACCTACTGTTTTCTTGTTATATGTTTGTGGTTGTCTCTTTGCTTTTTACTATGTGTCCTACTGTTTTCTAATTGTACTGTAAAGCACTTTGTGAATTCTTTCTGTGAAAGGTGCTATATCAATAACCTTTACTTACTTAAATTTTGAAAAAAAAAAAAAAAAACCCAACACAATTATACAAAGATAATTATCTTTCTTTAATTAATGATCTGAAAACAGTAGTGACAAATGGTCAGATCTACCTATAAATTTAATGGGAAGATTTGTTTAAAATGATATGGTTGCCAAATTTCTTTTTATTTTTCTAACTATTTCATTAATTCCCCCAAAATATTTTTTACAAGGCTCAATGCTTTACTTACGTCCTTTATATGGGCTAATAAAGCACATAGGTTGAATTAAACAAGTTTCCAAATCTAGAGCTGTATTACTAAGCTTCTCAGATGTTCTTTATAGATCGTATAATCAATAACACAGGTGAAGAGCCCTAGATAAATATCAAAAGTCAACAGTTAACGCCTCACAACTTATTTACATCTCTGTTTACAAAACACAATATAAAAGTATCTAATTCTGTTATAAATAGCACATTAAAAACATGGAAGAGAGTTGGAAATATATCAGGAGTGCAAAAGCCCTAGGAACACAGGGCTTTGGAATAATCAGTCAATAAAATTTCAAAATGTGGAGCTTAACTGCGTCTCTTGGAGGGTAAAGGGAATTAAGTATTTATCAGATATAATCATGCATAACAAGGTACAATCATTTACTGAACCTCAAAATAAATTTATATTGACATACCAAGAATGTTTTAGATATTTACAGCTAAATGTTTCAGAGGCTACGCTACAGCAGGCTAACGTTAGCCATTAGCAACTGGATGCTGTGTTGTCATATATAACGTTATGAACTGAACTAACTTCTTTGTCATTTTTATGTGCAGCACAAAAACAAAATGACATTTCGCATACCCCAAGCAAAAAGAAACAAAACATTTAAAAACAATTTGTGCAACATATAAGAAAGAACATAATAGTGCAATAGTAAGATGAAAAGGGTTGACATTTCACAGTCTAAAACTCCACATCCTGAGAGCGGAACTGGGAGATGCTCTTCACATCACAACACCATGAATTGTTTGTGTATACTGCCAGACCGCCACCACAGAGCTTACCAGATGATGCAGCCTCCCTGTCTGCTCTATGTAGTGTTAGCCCCGTTAGCTCAACACCGGAGTCTGATATGTTACCATTCATCCATATCTCAGTGAACACAAGGATGCAGCAGTCTTTCACTCCTCGTGAGTGATTTGTCTCATTAATACCTGTAAATGCACAGAGGGTGATCTACAAATATTTCTTGATCTGCACACGTTTCATAGTAATGTGTGTGAACAGATCGACAATCTGTGTGTAAATGTGTAATCTGTAAATATAAAACACATTCCACAAATACAAAAAATATTTGTGAATACATTAAATTAATTTGCAAATAAATGAAAAGCATTTGTGAATATCTTCCTAACATTTACAGCTTTCGAACAGGCATTTGTGAACTCAGTTTTTATTTGTGAATCGAAAAAACATTCGTGGATCTCAGTTCTACGCATGTGGATTTGCTTTTTACACACACGGATTTTTGAGACAAACTTTCCGCCGGTCCAAACGAAAATGCACTCATATCACTCGGCCATCTTCGGTTAGCACGTGATCACTCAGCTGATGACGTCATTTCCGCATATGAAAGTAAGAGCACGCAGTCTTTCTATGAGCTGTTTTTTGTTGTTGTTTTTTAATAATAATCAGTGATAAGTAACGTGCATTTATTGTTTTATGTTAATGTCATACAGTGAGTATTAGTGTGTGTGTTTATTTGTTCTATGTATTAGGCACACACTTGTACTGATTACACTAGCATTGAAAGGTTGTGGAGAGATGTCTGGATGTCATTCACCAGCATCTTCTCCCATGGCCCTCTTTACAGGTTGGATGGTACTGACTTCTGGTCTATTTACAATGTATAAAATGCTGCACCCTGCTTTCGTCCCCCCAGCCCGCAACATAAATGTTTACTGTTGCCATGGCAGCAGATGCTGTTTCAGTAGCTCACGTTAGCTTAGCGCAATCTATGTATTAACAATGAACAATACAACTACAATATTACACTTCTAAACAAAAAGAGCTACCAACACCAACAGCTGTTCTATCAAAGACCTTAACCATGGTGTTGCCACTTGTCATATCTTACAACAGTTAACGTAACCTCACTGAAACGATGTAACCTAACTAAACACGGTGCGGTTAGCACAGACATTACAACTACATTAGTAAGAGTACAATAATAATAAGATGTGAAGTGCTTTGTGACTTTAATCCTACTCGAAAGAATAAATGAAACATACAGTACAGGCCAAAAGTTTGGACACACCTTCTCATTCAATGCGTTTTCTTTATTTTCATGACTATTTACATTGTAGATTCTCACTGAAGGCATCAAAACTATGAATGAACACATGTGGAGTTATGTACTTAACAAAAAAAGGTGAAATAACTGAAAACATGTTTTATATTCTAGTTTCTTCAAAATAGCCACCCTTTGCTCTGATTACTGCTTTGCACACTCTTGGCATTCTCTCCATGAGCTTCAAGAGGTAGTCACCTGAAATGGTTTCCACTTCACAGGTGTGCCTTATCAGGGTTAATTAGTGGAATTTCTTGCTTTATCAATGGGGTTGGGACCATCAGTTGTGTTGTGCAGAAGTCAGGTTAATACACAGCCGACAGCCCTATTGGACAACTGTTAAAATTCATATTATGGCAAGAACCAATCAGCTAACTAAAGAAAAACCAGTGGCCATCATTACTTTAAGAAATGAAGGTCAGTCAGTCCGGAAAATTGCAAAAACTTTAAATGTGTCCCCAAGTGGAGTCGCAAAAACCATCAAGCGCTACAACGAAACTGGCACACATGAGGACCGACCCAGGAAAGGAAGACCAAGAGTCACCTCTGCTTCTGAGGATAAGTTCATCCGAGTCACCAGCCTCAGAAATGGCAAGTTAACAGCAGCTCAGATCAGAGACCAGATGAATGCCACACAGAGTTCTAGCAGCAGACCCATCTCTAGAACAACTGTTAAGAGGAGACTGCGCCAATCAGGCCTTCATGGTCAAATAGCTGCTAGGAAACCACTGCTAAGGAGAGGCAACAAGCAGAAGAGATTTGTTTGGGCCAAGAAACACAAGGAATGGACATTAGACCAGTGGAAATCTGTGCTTTGGTCTGATGAGTCCAAATTTGACATCTTTGGTTCCAACCGCCGTGTCTTTGTGAGACGCAGAAAAGGTGAACGGATGGATTCCACATGCCTGGTTCCCACTGTGAAGCATGGAGGAGGAGGTGTGATGGTGTGGGGGTGTTTTGCTGGTGACACTGTTGGGGATTTATTCAAAATTGAAGGCACACTGAACCAGCATGGCTACCACAGCATCCTGCAGCGACATGCCATCCCATCCGGTTTGCGTTTAGTTGGACGATCATTTATTTTTCAACAGGACAATGACCCCAAACACACCTCCAGGCTGTGTAAGGGCTATTTGACCAAGAAGGAGAGTGATGGAGTGCTGCGGCAGATGACCTGGCCTCCACAGTCACCGGACCTGAACCCAATCGAGATGGTTTGGGGTGAGCTGGACCGCAGAGTGAAGGCAAAGGGGCCAACAAGTGCTAAACACCTCTGGGAACTCCTTCAAGACTGTTGGAAAACCATTTCAGGTGACTACCTCTTGAAGCTCATCAAGAGAATGCCAAGAGTGTGCAAAGCAGTAATCAGAGCAAAGGGTGGCTATTTTGAAGAAACTAGAATATAAAACATGTTTTCAGTTATTTCACCTTTTTTGTTAAGTACATAACTCCACATGTGTTCATTCATAGTTTTGATGCCTTCAGTGAGAATCTACAATGTAAATAGTCATGAAAATAAAGAAAACGCATTGAATGAGAAGGTGTGTCCAAACTTTTGGCCTGTACTGTATAAAGGATGAGTTAGCTGATAACTGCCAACTGAAGAAGCAGCCAAGCCACCGTGCCTTTCATACTCAAACAGAAATATATACAAAAGTGTGTGCCAAATACATAGAACAAATAAACACACACACACACACACTAATACTCACTGTATGACATTAACATAAAACAATAAATGCATGTTACTTAACGCTGATTATTATTAAAAAACAACAACAAAAAACAGCTCGTAGAAAGACTGCGTGCTCTTACTTTCATATGCGGAAATGACGTCATCAGCTGGGTGATCACGTGCTATCCGAAGACAGCCAAGTGATACGAGTGCATTTTCGTTCGGACCGGCGGAAAGTTTGTCTCAAAAATCCGTGTGTGTAAAAAGCAAATCCACATGCGTAGAACTAAGATCCACAAATGTTTTCTCGATTCACAAATAAAAACTGAGTTCACAAATGCCTGTTCTAAAGTTGTAAATGTTAGGAAGATATTCACAAATGCTTTTCGTTTATTTGCAAATTAATTTAATGTATTCACAAATATTTTTTGTATTTGTGGAATGTGTTTTATATTTACAGATTACACATTTACACACAGATTGTCGATCTGTTCACACACATAATTATGAAACGTGAGCAGTTCAAGAAATATTTGTAGATCACCCTCTGCATTTACAGGTATTAATGAGACAAATCTAACTCCATAGTTGAGTGGTTCTCCGCTGTCGGATGTAATCCATTTTCGTGTCCAGTGAGCGGAAGTTCACTAAAAGGACGCTGGGAACAGCTGGTTTGATGGGGTTAGCTCTTAGCCTAGAGCTAACCCCTCCGCGCTTCCCCCGCTTCAGCATCCTGTCACAGTGCTGCCGACAGGCGAAACCGCGGTCATCTCAGGGCTAGCTCAACGTAACAGGCCAAGCTTGCTACAAATCCTGAGCTCTCTTGATTGTAGCATTAGATCTCTGCAGTGGTTTCTAATGTCTGTTAGAAACTCGTTGACTGTATTGCACTAAATTTACATCTTGTTGCACCATGTTTACTTCGCTGGTGTACGCAGAGGCTGCCACAAGCATTGGTCGCGCCGCCATGTTGATTCAAACTTAGAGGCAAACTAAAAGTACCTGTCCTGCAGAAACTCTACGTCCATCTCGTCCCTTTTTAGCTCAGGATGAAGCTGCATGTTATGCGAGCGGTTACGTCAGTCGGAGGCCTCCATGTGGGGAAGACAGACGTGACAGGAGAAAACTCCAACCAATCATTGCATTCGGATTAGTGGGAGTTTTCTTAGAACCATATGAGAATGGTATGAATTTGATCTCTCGTGTAATATATTCTTGTCATTAATTTATATTGTATTAAAGCAAGACTTAACCTTTCTGGAAATTTTACACTTTTCTTTGTTTAGGTTAAAATGCTATTAATAAGCTGATGACACACTAAAATGTAAGTGAATTCCACCAGAAATAAAAATTCAGAAGTTTTATCCAAACTCCTCTGATCAATGTGTGAAGTGCAGCTTTCACGACTCCCTTGTGCATTCCTTCTGGTCTTGTATAAAAGTGAACAAAGTGTGGAATGAAATCCAAGACTGGATATCTATTACATATAAAACAAAAAATATTTTCAGCACAACTGTGTATTTTCAATATGGTGGGAAAATACGATATCCTTTGGGATGGCAGATTATGTTCTCCTCCCTTGTCTATAAGAAGCTCGTTTTAAAACTGTGGAAAAAAAGCAGAAGTTCCTGCTTCACAGATCTGGAGAGATTTGATGAGATATTATTTGTCCATAGAAAAGACATCGTCTGAGGATAATAACAAAATAAAGCAATTCAATGAGGTTTGGGAACACATATATGTTGCTTTATAAGATTTAAACCAAAATGATGGATGGCAGGGAAGAGAAGGGGGGGACTCTGGTGGAGATCAAGGGCAGATGTGTGTTAATGTGTGTGCATGTGTGTGTGTTGAAGGGTGTGAGACAGGGAATTGGAATGAGAAGTATGTGATTTGTGTTTAGGATGTAGGAATGAATGTCTTGTGTCTTATTTTAGGACTTGTGTATAAATGTATGGACAGATTGATGTTTTATGTTGATTGACACCATTCTAGGATGGAATACATATTATGTGTTTAAAGGTATTATTAGTTTTGTTGTTGAAAGATTGTAAGTAGAACCTAATGGTGTACAGCATGAAATTAATAAAGATAATTATACAAAAAAAATTGGATTTTTTTTTTTTTTGCCAATATCTGATATGCCAACATGTAACAATTCATTTGACCTATAACCCATATAAATATATCCACTTTTTTCCCACCTAATTTTAGAGATCATCAAGTGTCTTCTATAGTGGAATTAACATCATATTATGCATGCATACTCTTATTGTGATGACCCACCAGCAGATGGGGACATGAAAGACAATACTTTACAATGTACAGTATGTAATGTTCATCATTGTACAAAATAAGAAAAAGCATGTTTGCCAATTCTGATAGTTCATTTTAAAGCTGATATCGGCCAATATCTATGGTGTGCCGATATTAATGTGCATCCCTAGTTACATTACATGGAAGGTTATCCCGGGAAGATTAAACACTAATTAAACATTAAACACAACAAATTCCATGACTTCTCCAAAACTTTAGATGATTTTCATTGATTCCATGACTTTTCCAGGCCTGGAAAATGCAGTTGGGAAATTCCATGTCTTTTCCAGGTTTTTCATGACATGGGAATCCTGTATATCTTGTTGCTATTTACATGGCATTTAAAATGTGAAAATTCTTCAGTCCTCAGGATCCTCTTACCTCTTCTACTTCCTGTTCATCAACCCCAGGATCAAACATGGAGCCCAGATAGGTGAGGTGGAAGATGGTCAGGAGGCTGAAAACCAGGTTCAGCAACATCACCCAATACTCCTACCGGCCAAAGGAAAAAGAACAAACTGTAACAGCCGCAAGAACCTCTTTATAGTGTCCGTCAATCTTTTTAAACCTTCAGGAGTAACTTAACTCTGAAAATCTTTGCTGACGTCCACTGGCTTAACTTCTCTTACCTTCCTGCAATGATGCAATGGTGTAGTCTAGCATTCTGTGACATCACTGCTGAGTGAGGTTACAGGTGCAACAAAGCACATTTCTGACCACTCCCAGCAGTGATGCTGGGAGATGGATCCTTGTGCAAACAAGCACTTTGTATTTTTTATGGAATTAATGTAGATCACTTTAGAGAGATTGATTTTCACTGTTTTTAGCTATTATTCAATATTTCTTCCCTTTAAATCCATATAGATATAGATGAAAAACTATTCTTAATCAAGTTTGAAATCACTTCCCAAGTGGCATGTAAACTTAGATATTAAGGCCCTGTCTATACGTACCCAGATATTTTCTGTAAACAGATTGTGCCCGCCCCCCGTGTTCACACAGACAGCGTTGTTGCTGCGGTGCTGCTGCTGTAAATACTGTTTTTCCACAACTGAAAGCTGGTTGAACTGTTCATGCCACTGCATTATCAACAACATGGTCCTGTAAATAATTCACAACAAAAAGCCTCATGTTACACAACAATCGAATGGATTCTGTGCACAGAAACCTTGTCAGGAGACTTTTATTTTGAAATGGAAAGAGGAAGTCTTGAGTAATGTTGGGATTCACAGGACCACAGATGATTTGTCATTTGTTAAAATCTAAACTGGACATGTGAGGGCTTTTCTTCTCTGCATGCTCTTTGTTCTTCAAACAGAGACAGCTATTTGACACTCATCTCCACAGGAGGTCACCTCACACCTCCCAGTGAGACCAGTTGTCAAACTTGATTGGACAGTACTGTTACAGTGACATGCCCCTCTGTGATGTCACCAGACAAACTCTAAAGTGTAGTTCACATTACACGATTTTCACCCTGATTTTGCATCGCAGAGACTATCGTAATCTTTTAAGTGTTCATACCTGGAGAAGTGTGTTTTTGTAAGCGGGAGTCTCGCCAACTGCGTTACGACCTGTGTGCGCACACCACAAGATTTCTCCACCGAGCCCACACCGACAGAGCCCCAGATAACATGGTGACGTCACCAAACTTAGAGACGACACATCGTAAAGGCACTGATATTCTTCCCAGTGTTCAGAACTGCCTCCAGGGCCTGGGTCCAAACACAACGCGCTCCAACAAAGACTGGAACCACATCTCTTTCCAGCCTTCCTCTGCCCAGCAAAGGCTGGATTAAGGTTATACGGGTATGTGTGATCTCTAACTTTTTCTTTTTGCAAAGATGCTTAAACTACCAAAAAAGGGTTTAAGACTTGCACACTTGAACATTTGTAGTTTAAAGAATAAGGTTGATGAGTTGAGCTCTATTATGCAAGAAAATAATATACATATAATAGCCATATCTGAGACACACTTGGATGATTCAATAAGTGATACACTATTAAATATACAAGGTTATCAAATTTTTAGACAAGACAGAGACAAATACAGTGGTGGCACGTGTATATACATCCAGAGTCACATCCCTGTTAAAGTAAGGAAGGACCTGAAAATGACTGGGGTGGAAGCCCTATGGCTACAGGTACACATTCCACATTCAAGTCCATTGTTAATCTGTTGCTGCTACAGGCCTCTGGGCTCCAGTATTGTGTATTTAGATGATGTATGTACAATGTTGCAAAATGTGGCTGATACAAATAATGAAATCTACTGTTTCGGTGATTTTAACATAGACTGGCTTTCAGATAATTGTACGCTGAAAAAGAAACTTGGTGATGTGGCTTCTGTATGTAACTTAACTCAGGTGGTTAATATACCAGCGAGGATCAGCATTAAAAGTGCAGGGGCGGTCTCATCAAAGTGTATAGATCACTGTTTTACAAATGCTCCTGAGAAATGTTCTAAAATTATATCTGTACCAATTGCCTTCAGTGACCATAATATGGTAGCATTTACTTTTTGGTTTAAATTTTCCTATGTTGGGTCTTAAATTATCTTTAAATGAATTTATTAGTCCTTTTCAGAAGATGATTTTATTAAAGATATATCCAAAATCACGTGGAACTCAGTGCTGGATGTTAAGAATGCAGAGGCCGCATTATGCAAGTTTATGGATTTATTTATGGATGCTTGTGATAAACATGCTCCTATGAAGAAAATTTCTGTGAAAAACATCAGAACACCCTGGCTTGATCATGAACTTAAAAATTCCATGAAAGAAAGAGACAGACTGAAAACAGTAGCTGTGGCATCTGGAAATTCGCATGACTGGCAAGCTTACCGGTCATTAAGAAACACTGTAACCAAAATGAATAGACAGAAGAAAAATTATTATCAGAGTAAACTGGAGGAGTACAAAGGAGATAGTAAGAAATTATGGAAAACATTAAATGAAGTCATAGGTAAAACTAGAAGGAGTAAAACACCCTCTTTTATTGAAGTTGAAGGAAAATTTATTACAAAACCTGTTGACATTGCAAATCATTTCAATAATTATTTCAAATGTAAGGTGGAAGTAATCAGAAATCAGATGATGCCGAAGGATGGAGAGCTGTCAGATGCCTTAATAAGGAAATATATCATGCATGAGAAACAATGTAATTTTGAATTTAGGGTCACTAATGCTGATGAAATTAAAAAGTTTCTTCTTTCCTTAAAAACAGACAAGCCTAGTGGGGTTGACGATCTGGATGGTAAACCACTACGACTGTCGGCAGAATTTGTAGCCAAGCCTCTAGCCTATATTTTTAACCTATGTTTTAAAGAGTATGTGTACCCACAGCGTTGGAAAATAGCAAAGGTAACGCCTCTCCCGAAAAACTCTAAGGAACCATTTTGCAGGCCCAAACAGCAGACCTATTACTATCTTACCTATAATAGGTAACTTTTTGAAGGCATTATCTATAAGCAGATGCGTATAGAGTGGGCCACTAAACAGCAACTGCCTTAACATCTTTAACAGACTGTTGGTTACAACATATTGATAAAAAGGATGTGGTAGGTGCAGTACTTATGGATTTTAGTGCTGCGTTTGATATTATAGACCATGACCTATTAATCAAGAAACTGAGGGCCTATGGTTTCAGAAATACTGCCATAGAGTTACTAAGAAGTTATCTGTCAGACAGGCAGCAATGTATTGTTTTTAATGGCTCAATATCAAATTCAATTACACTTGAATGTGGTATTCCCCAGGGCAGCTGCCTAGGACCGCTCCTTTACTCCATTTTCGTATATGATATTCCTAATATGTTAAAGAATGCGGGCATGGTGATATATGCTGATGATAACACCATGTTTGCATCAGGCTTAAGCTCTACACAGGTCAATAATACACTTCAAAAGGAAATTATGTTGGTTTCAGAATGGGTTAATGAAAACAAATTGAAATTAAATGTTTCTAAAACCAAATGTCTAATGCTAGGTTCTAAATATGCCTTAAGGTCGGATCACAAACTATCTCTCTCCCTAAATGATACTGATATTAAACAGGTCAGGGAGGCTAAACTGCTCGGGGTTACTATAGATGAGACACTGTCATGGACATCGCATATTGGTAGTATAGTCACGAGGATGAGTAGGGGTATTTCCATCATTAAAAAAAGTGCTAGTCTCTTAGATGAGTTATCTTTAAAAACTGTAACTCAGTCTCTAGTCCTTTCACATCTGGACTATTGTCTGACAGTCTGGTCTTGTGCATCACAAAAAGAAATGTCAAAACTTCAGTTAACTCAAAATAGAGCAGCTCGCCTTGCACTTCAGTGCTCCATAAGGGAGAATGTGTTAGAAATGCATGACAGACTATCGTGGCTAATGGTAAAAGACAGACTGACATGCAGTCTTATTCTGTTTGTAAAGAATATATATACTGTTGGTAAACCTAACTGCTTATATTTACAACTAGCGCCAACCAATAACAGACATTACCATGAGACAAGACAAGCAGTAAACCACAGATTCACATTACCTCTGCCGAGAACCAACACACTTAGGAGAACAGTTATGTACAGAGCTATTGCAGAGTGGAACAGGCTTCCACCTGAGCTCTTATCACTGGAAAGCAGAAGTAGTTTTAAAAACAAACTGAAAAAGATGATTTTAGAAAGGTGAGTGTGTAATATCGGACTTCTTGGTTTCTTTTGTTTTGTTTTGTTGTTTGTTAGTTTTAGTTTTATTCCGTTTCATAAGCCTAGGTATTGATTTGGTGTGTTTGCAAAACTTTAGAAACTGTTTTTAACAATTTCTTCCAATTGCAATTAGTAGTCCACATTGTGGTAAATTACTGAATTTAATATTGTAGTTTTTTTCCTTGTAACTATCATATATGATTCTAGATTGTTATTGTTATTCTGTATGTTTTTACTATGTATATAATTGTGTCCTGTGTGAGGACCCCAGGAAGAATAGCCATTACTCCCCTAACGGAGTGATGGCTAATGGGGATCCTAATAAATAAACAAATAAATAAATACCTGCTGTCTGTTTAATGTTGCACAAGAGTGAATGAAAAGTCAACCTCTGCTTCGTCAAGAACTCCGAAATCCTACAGGCTTTATTATTAAATTTGGTTACTGTTATTAATTTAATTATTAATACAAATTCCAAATTGATAGTTAAGTTTTAGTGGGGAATTTTATGAGACTGATATCTTTTTCTGGCTATCAGTTTCCCCTTTCGGGAATGGTGCCCCACGAGGTGATTTAATGTAAATTAAGTCATATTATTTAACATAAACAATAATTATTATTAATTATTTCCGATAGCCAATTTGATACTTTAATTGGAGATCTATTACAAGGTCAGGCCCGTGTTAAGGCTTAAGTCCCAACAAATGGTGCCGCCATGTTACGTAACACCAGTGCCTAGATCACAACACATAGTATCACCAGAATAATTTACAACATTAATGGTGCTCCTTGGTGAGGCCTTACATTGTTGTTCCCAACATAACTGGTGCCCCTTGTTGAGGCCTGATTATGTTGTTCCCAACAGTAAAAAATAAATACTTAAAGTTTTTTCATGTTTGTGACAGATATAAACATTGATACTGTAGGGAATGATAGTATGGTATCGGTATGAGTGTTAAAATACTTTTCACTGCCTCGTTGTTGCTGAAAATGTGTGTGTGTCTCAAAAAATAGGTGAGCCACAAGACTTCTATTCACTAGATTTTCTGCAGCTGGGTGAACTGTCTGTCTTAAGTGTACCTTTTTCAAAACACCTACTGGAAATCTCATCACCAGGGATTCCTGTTCAACTTAATGACAAAGAAGCTCACTTGAACATACGAGTGATGCTCTGGACATGCGAAAGTTTTCCTTCCACACCTCAACAACAACAACAACAACAACAACAATCCCACTCTAGAGAGTGTCCCAACATCCGCTGGTTCGACCAGTCCTGATCCAGAACCGTCAGTTCTAGTGGACTTTAAATCCCGGACGCTACGGTGGAGTGCAAACACTGGGATGCAGCAGATATCTCTGTTTGTCCGTGAAGTGAGTGTAAGGTATAGGTATGCATAATTTAGAAGATTACATCATCGTTTCCCAAACGCTCCGTTTTACACATCCACACAGATAAATAGTAAACGGAGTTTAGATAAATCTCACCTTAAAAGGCCTTAAATTTTCATTTTAGGTACCTGACACTCCATTTGCATGTGGACGAGAGGCCCAAACATAGAGAAAAATATCCATTTACAAAAATATCTGGATACATATAGACAGGGCCTAAGTTTGAAGGTTATTCAGCAGTTTGTACCCCTTCTGACACTGAGTACAATACTGTGGTTTCTTTTTATCATGCCCCCCATAACTGCATTACTAAAGGGTGCTGAAGCTATACCTTCTTGTGCTGATGGCTGCACTCAGAGGTGCAGGGCTTGGACATGATACAGGCACTGAAGATGGATGCAAGCTTCTTTCTCAGAACTAAGGATGAGAGAACAAAGGGACAACCTTAATCATTCAGGTGTGAGAAACAAACTGGCTACCCTTTCTTCACACTACCACAGAAATTCTTCAGGACACCAGGAATGATGGGAGCAGATTAACCCCTTGAACTCTGCGATAGAAACGGTCTGCCAGTTGATTTATTGGTATTTTTGCTCATTGTGATGTAATTTCTTGGAGCATCTTCAAGTGTGTCATATCCCTAAAATCTGTCCAACCTCAGCTAAAACGTTATGTGAGTCAGTTAACCTTAATTATTGATAAAAGTATTGAAATTCTGTCATTGAAAAAAAAATAAAATACACAAAACAAACTTGTTTTTTTTCATCAGATTTTACAAAATAAAAGGACAAATACTTAACATTCCATAAGTTTTTTGAACTATATACATCTAGTTTTTGAGAGATGCTTATTTTCATGGGAAGAGTTAAAGGTGCTGCAATAGATTCATCACTCATTTCTCTAGCATCACTGCAGGTTTTCATGTGGTTTTGCACCACATTTAATGTAGTTATTATTTATAGATTCATAGATCTTATTTATTCCAGATCTACTGAAAGAACTATCTCCCTGGGCCGTCTGAGGGGGTTCTGTTTTTAAAGCGTTATCCTGCTTTCGAGCAGACTTGGGTCAGCCCTCTTAGATGAAGTAAAGAAGTAATTGTTCAGCAGTTTGTGCAGGCAAAAATTATGTATAGATATATATGT